CGGAGGAGGATGCACACTTGATTACATCTTCTCTGAAGCCATTCACATCACGAACAATGATATTATTAGTGGAAAAAGGTATCATTATCAATGGAAATGAATACAGTCCTCTGTGAATTATATAGGGTATCGTTTCACTTTGTCATTATGTTAGTTTCCTCTTGCTAACATTTCATGTTTTCTCGTCTTTTCTTTAGGATTCTCACATCTCCTGCCTTACTTTTATGTCATATATTTCGCCGTGTTGCTGATTCACCGAGAGGACCGTGATGAGAGACAGTGCAGGGCCAAATACGGACTAGCGTGGGACACATACTGTCAACGTGTCCCCTACAGGATCTTCCCTTATGTCTACTAAACAGCAGAGCAGATGGCTGGAACAGGACCAAAACGGTCTCACAACATTCTTCAAGTCCACATAGCAATGACCTGAAATGTGAATCCATTTTCACTTTCATAGACCACAAATAATATCTGGTGCTTTTGCAGGTTGAAATACGAAATGATGTTCACTGGATCACTATTTTCGAAGTTGTTGAATATTGACTTTGAAAGCTCATAGGAGTCTGATAAAGGTTAATCCGTGCATCCAAACACAGCACAGGCCTTGGGATTATTTCTCATAAAAATGAGATAAGAAAATGAGTTTTTGTAAACGTGAGAAAATAAAATACATTTTTAATTGGAAAATACAACCCTAGAAAAATGACAGATGAAATGCAATTCTATAAAAACATTAGTGCCTTATTTCAATAAAAGGCATTTTTACCATGCTTGTTTTTTTACAATGTCTACTTTTTTTTAAAGCGTGTTTGTAAAATTCATTTAAAAATAAACAAAACACAAAATGACACTTGCATCATCATTTCATTCACCTCGCAGACAGTGAATGTCCGGGAAAGTGCTCCGGGGGGCTGAAATGTTAGTAGCCTATGACTATTTATACATTTGCCTTTTTGAGTCTGTGAAGATGGCTGCTAACAGCTATGTGAGTTTTGAATAACCTTTCCAACCTGTTATCATCATCCTGCTTAAATGGCTTCTCTCTCCCGTGTTCAAACCTTAATGGCAAATGTTCTCCGAGCCGCTGGGCTTTATCTGTCAGGCTTCAGCTTTCAATATGCTCTGTTCCCTAATTACTCTGAGAGAACAATAAGTATATGGGCTGCATTAGTAACTGCTGTCAGAGGCTCCTTAAAAAATGCCTCAATAATCATTAACGCCGTGCTCTTACTTGAAGCGTTGAATAAGAGCAGGTTGATTCACTGTGTGGGAGGCAAGTGGTCGTATTTTGAATGGACTGCTGCCTCACCTTGAGGAAAGTTCTTTGAATAGGTGGTTACTAAGAAGTAAATCTTCCATAATATATAAACGCCAGCAACTTCGCATTTTAATGGTGGAGTTTGCCTGTTTTTACCTTTACCTTTACAGATTTAGACCTCTAATTTGTTGCAAAAGACCCCCAATTTGTTTGCATATAATCCCTTTTTCAATTATAACCCTGTGCATATACACTGCAAATAATATTTGTGTCACATTGCAGTGAGGTGTCCGCATACGTAAGAAAGAGCCCTCCACTAATGCATATACTAATACCTTATATTCACCCTTTAAGCCCATTAACAGTGCAGTTGGCCCCTAGCTTTGTTTACACAGCACTCAAGCTATTTGTGTTGTTTTTCATGTTACTTAGTGCTAATTATGTGCTAGTATAATGCTGCCAGTGCCTTCATGGTGGCTGGATTCATGATGAAATAACTAACAATATTCTCAGGTATTAGGTGTGTAAAGTATATGTACTGTTTGTATATTTATTTTCCCCAATGTTGTTTATTATAATTCTCTTGTACCACTTTATTATGTGGTACCTAGCAGATAATAACGCATATTCCAATTGTTAATTTTGATGGTGCTGTTGAAATCAATGAAGGGAAGTAAACAAATAGCTACTTTTACTAAACTATTATACACATTTGAGGTATTGTGCTTTGCTAAATTTGAAGTTGCATCTGTTTCAGAGTCAAAATAGAAGTCACATAAAGGAAACGTGAAATGGACAAGACAAGAAAGGGGATGTATAAACAGCAGAGAAGAAACTGCGAGTCTGCGGCTGCAGGTGGGCACAGTTCAAGAGATGACATATGAGAAAAGATACATGTTCATTCAAGTACTCACTGACATAAAGGGGTGTGGGGGGTGTGGTCTCACCTTGGATGGGGCTAGCAGTTTGTGAACAGCACAACAATGCAATATTAAAAAATGACTGAAATTAAAAGTTATATCTCTGTTCATTTATCACTGGTTTAATTCACCACCTATTAACCACTCTTAATCAAACACACAGATGCATGCTGGGTCCGGCATGCTAAATGCTATGCTAAACGCTCAGCGTTCACTCGGGAGCCTTCAATGAGGCCTTTCTGGTGTTTGTATCGGTTGAGGTCATTGTGAAATTGAAACTGGGATTGGTTATAGTGGGACAGAGAGGCTATATATATATATAAGTGGACTATATATGTAATGCAATGAAAATGAACAGCAGGGAAGTTGAAGCGGGAGCAGAGGAGGACTTTTGGTGCACAAGACTCTAATTCGGACATGTGAGTACAACTATCCTAACTGTCATGGTTGCAAATGTTGCCATAACACGTTTTGTAAGAACTTGGCATTTCAAAAGGTTTATACATCTCTGTGTTGTGTGTTTTGGTGATTCGTTGTTCTGCTGTTGATTCTAAAGGAACTGCATTCTGAATGTGACTTCATAGCACTTGTTGCACCTGCCGTGGTGTCCATAGCTATCCTTTTGTGTTATTGGACTTTATTGTCTTTTTTGTTTCAAAATACAAAGTATTGCATACTGTGAGACATTTTTATAAAATAAACGTTACTTTACATATCAGTAAAACATGATGATACCATGACATATAATCCATCTGATTGAGAGATAGATTGGCTTCAGTAATAATAGTAAAACAATGTAACGGGAATAAAATCCTCCAAGTCTTTATTGATCAATACTTAATACTTATTATGATATCTTAAATTGAGTTGCAAGACCATTACAATAGTTTTTAAATCATCTTTGCAAAAGTTTCAGGAGTTCGATCATGTATTAACAACCTTCAACTTGTCTTAACAAAAGACACCAGCGTGCCTACAGACACTTTAGTTTATAAATGTTGTGCTTATTTAGTTCTTAGTTTAAGGATAAACACATTTCAAAGGACGTTTTTTGTGATTGGTTTTAGAAAGTAATTTGCACATTATTGACAAATACAATGTCAAGCTTTGTAAAAAAATAAGGCAATTCATTGATTTGTTTTCTAGTTACAGATAGAAGAGATGGGTTTTTATAGAAATGAGACAACATCTGAGTCACTGTCACAGGTTTCTGTCTGTACAGACGATCCGCTGTTGAAATAAAAACACAAGTGCGAACAGGTTTGGCATATCCTTGGACACAACAGCAAGCACATCTGCTCCTTTATTTTAGGAATCAAAACACAACAGCACAAAATGTCAATACATGTAAATAGACTTTATGTAAATGTAATAACCAGGTTTGATTTGTGAATACGGTGGTCATTTTCACTTTTCCCATTCTCCCCCTTCAATAGCCATGTCAAAATACACTTATTTAACTAAATCAATTCCTGAAATTGTGCTTTCTGCCTCTCAAATGTTGCCGTTATACACTGTATGTTCTTCTGTACGCATGTCTGAACATCCATAATAGTATGCAACATCCCGGAGTGTCTTGCATAATAATGAATAGGCAAAATGTGTGTGTCTGCATGCATGCAACTCTGCCTTGTGCGTGCACTTGCCAATTGTATGCCAATCGTGACGTTTCAGCTCCATCAGTTGTAGCCAGTTTCCATGGTAACACCTCTCTGAGAGCACAGACGTAGGAGGGAAGGGAAAGGCGCTGAGACAATTATGGTGGTGGAGGGTGCTGGAAAAAGGAAGAGCCCGGGATTGAGAGTGTGAAACGGTGCGAACCGTGGGATGAGGCAAGACGGGAAGCAGATGCATGTGTTGCGTGTGTGTGTTGCTGTGTGTATCCTGGGAGAAGCAGGTGCCATGCATAGAAAAAAAAAGGGGATTGTGGTCGTCATGACTACATATATGAACCTGTTACATATGCATCGGATGGAATATGAATTAAAAAGAGACAGAAAAGAAATGCTCCCAGGCATGTGAACTTGAATTGTTTTCTGTGTGTTTAGAGTGTGAGCCTCCGAGTGAGTCAACAGGAATTTCTAATACAATTTAGTTTCCATGGTGACAGCAAATGGACAGGGAATGATATGTCCTTTTCCAACAGAGGGAAAACGCCATTGGTGTTGCTCTGTCTGAATCATTGTTTACACCTGGCAAACATTACAGACCCTACAAATGACTCAACTGCTAACTAACTGCTGCGTCTCCTTTCATCCATTTCAATGCAGAATAAAGAAAACTGCCCTGCACAAAAGTGTCAAACATGCTACATTTGATAAAGCTGCAGTGTTCATTTCATCAGTAATCTCTTTCTGTGGAGATATACATGTTCTTTTGTGTCAAATTACTTTTGTTATCCAAACCAATAGCTCTATAATTTGATATTCTGTATAGTATTCTTGTGATGCAGACATTAATGAGAGGTTATCATCCTCAATTTGTCGCCTCTCCAGAAGCTCTTTTTACATCAGCAAGAAACTGTTCATGGAATTCAGTTATTTTGGTGCTTTTTAAGAGCTTGTGTGAATGTCTCTGAAACCACTTCTGAATGCAGCTGTTTTCGACAGCTTTTGATGTGGCCCTTTGTGTGCTATCCTCCGTCTAATGCACCACTCAGTATTCTCGCTTTCGAACAACCCTCATCATCCTCAGAGTTATATTTCTCTCTTCCAGTTCATCTCTGGTGTTGGCAGAGCATCACGTCTGCAAAACTCCTCACAGATGGCCAAAAGACACTGACCGTCAGCAGACAGGAAGTAAGAAACTTGGAGATGATCTTTTTTGGCAACTGTTTTATTAGAATACGGCATGAGAATCGCTTTATTAACTGTACGTCATAGTGTAACCTAATAAATATAAAATAATCCACCAAATTTACTGTAGCGTACATTGATGACAAATGTATAAAAGACGGATACAAATAGATATACTCAAATACAATTTTCTAAAATGCTTTGTTTAGAGCAACTACATAATGACATTCAACCAAGCGGCAGTTCTCATTTTGTCCTCGTGTTACTGTGCTTTAATAGTGATTGTCCAGACTCCATACACTCATATTGTTGGCAGAGTGTTGATACTGTGTGCAAAGTGTGTACTGTGTGCAAAAACGCTCACAGAAGATTATTAAAGTTGCTGCAGTTTGGTTGAAATTCTCAAAAGCAGTTTGAGTTGTTCTTTTAAAACCCTTCATTTGTTCCAAAGTGACATCAAAACAAACTGTGATCGACACAGCACTTGTGTTTGTGGTGAAGCTCTACCACACAGATTTCTGAATTAGTGGCATATCATTGAAGCTATTATTTGTCCTGAAAGGTGAAGCATAATGTAATGGACTGTAAGAAGCAGTCACTACAGAGGACATTTTAATATTGTTTTGAAAGCATTCTTTTTTAAAACATTGTTTAATTTGGAATCAACTTCGTATTTAAAAGACAAGACTGAGGATATTTTTTTATGTCAACGAATCCTTTGAAAAGACTATAAAGATAAGAAGGATGTTTGGTGCGGCAGGGTCCTGCTGCAAATAAAGTCAATGGTAAATACTCACTAGTGCAGCAATGTGTATCAATCCCCTGCTGAAAATAGGCCCCATGAAATGCTCCATTTTACATTTCTGTGAGTGACATTTTCTGAAAACAATAGTGCCCAGCTTGGAAATGATTTACCCTTTAAGATTAAATTATACATTTGTAACCTCTTTCACACTTTAGTAACACATTTTGGGGCTGAGGTCCACAGACAGAATAGGGGAGTCAAAACTAAATACACATTGGTTTAAGTCTTCTCGTGGGATTTATTGACACCAACTAACTTATAAATATGCCAGCCTTATTCTATCTCTGCTTCCAATTGAAATGTAGTTCAACCTGTCATAGGCTAACATACACACAATTTGAAAATGATGTATGTACATATAACAATAATAATTACTTAACTGTGATCTGTATTTAGGGTTGAATGAACATCCTGAATATTAGTGATACTAAAACTTGCATCAATGAATTGTTGCCACCATTTACTACGTGTCGGGCGTATGGCAAACACAGTTTGTTCTCAGGGTCCAGTATCATCTCTATTGTCTACTGATGTTTAAAAATCACACATTTTAACCATCACTTATCTACTCACAGATCAAACTAATGAACACATGATAACAAAGGCTAGTTGAGGAAAGGCTTTACTGTTTACGAATCTCGATCATCAGCAACACGTAACTTCTGTCTGTATGATTGCAGACGTGATGAGAGGACATCACTGCCTTTACACTTCTGAGAAAAACTGAAACATTGTCATAGGCATTCATTGTCTCGTCTGCCACTTGTATCCCACTCGCCGTTATTACATAAATAAATAACACTGCATGGAAATGTCTTCTCAATCCAATCACATTGCTTGTTTGCTGTTTTTAATTGCTTCTTGTACATGAGATTTCTACGTTCTACCTCATATCAGAGTAAAGTTGCTGTGCTAAAAACGACAATAGTATAGTTAGAATAAACTGGAAAAAGGTTACTTAAAAAAAAAAAAACCCCACAACAGATCTACATGTTTTTTAAATGTTCATCAATTAAAAAACATTGTGCCAAAATGAAATGTGTGTTACAGAAAGTGAAAATAGAGAACAGAACTTGACAGTGCCTTAGCATGTAGTTGAAAAAAGCCACACTATTAGTTTCCTTTCACTCGCCCCAATTGATTTGGCACAATGTTTCTTTCAGATATATGTTTTGGCATTAAATGTCTTGAGCACGAAGCTCTTTGGAAAGCATGAACCTGTAGCTAAAATACATCCTTACTGGTATGGACATACTTATTATGAAATGCACATCACAAGCACTGACCCTCGCGGTCAAAGTTATAATTATTCCTCGTTGTTTTAGATACAGTGTGAAATTTGACTTTTGGTAGGGGGTGGCGTCAAGGAGATGTTGTGTTGGTTCATCTCCATTCCCCTGCCAGCCGTGTCAATTTCTTACAGTGCTTTAAAGTCCTCCTATACACTTGAACCTGTTTCTTACAGTTATATGTACCTCTAACACAATCAAAGCAGTGGTTTGATAATACAGATGTCTCTCATCTTAAGCACATGTCATCTTACTAAAACAACCCTGCTCTGAGTACATTTTCAAAGTCAAAGAATACAGACATGTTATTTCGTTTTCCAGCGCCTAAGTGTTTGGAGATTCACAGTGAGTTGAGCGACTGGATCAGTAAAAGCAGCATGGGAAAACTCCAGCCCTTCAGAGATGTACTGTTGATTCGTATAATGGTTCAAAGGCAACACACCTGATGCGTCCTCTTTCTGTTTTGTTTCAGTCCTTTAAAACGTTGTCCAATCGTCTGACAGCATGGTCTGGGTCAAAGTGATATAATGGAGTCCTTTACATTCAAATGATCACTCAGATAAGTCTTCTTGTGTTTGTCCAATGTTAGACTGTTGACAACCCAAGCCAGTGTCGGGAAAGATACATGGAGAGAGGAAGAGTTCATGTCTCCATTTGTTCCTCTGAGTCTTTCTTACTGATACGTCCTTTTATTTCTCCAGATATCCTGTCTGCTAGAAGCTGATCAAGGAGTAGACCATACTTCAGCAGGAAAAAGTCCACGGCAATAGATGGAAAATACGGAGAAAACTGTAATTGTGCTTCTCTTTTGCAACTAAGGTCACAGAACATTGCAAGAAAATCTGAAAGCCATCACTGAAACCTAATCAAGCATCTGTGAATTGAGAAGATTGTGAATTTGTACTGACCTGTAGAGATAATAGAAGAAAGAGAGCAGATAAAAGCCTAGCTTACACCAGGACTCCTTCTGGCAGTAATTGAGAATGTCGGCGTTCATCACACTGACGGGATCATACATGACCACTGAGCCGTCAGCTGGCCGATGAAGAAACCTGGAAGAAAGAGAGAGTTTTGGCTCACGCGCGCACCAGATATACAAAAGCATGTCAGACATATGTTATGGGACCTTACCTCCAGAGATGGTAGAAGAGAAGTGGGATATTTAGGCCAAGTGTGACCCACTCTGCAGCACACATGAACATCAAGCAGAAGAGCCCGTGGATGGAGTACTCCGGCACCACCAACTAACCAGAGCAGGCACAGGGAGGCAGGTTAGATAGGTCTGCGTAACATAACACTCATGAGTAATCGCTCTTCAACAACTGCTGGGAAAACACTGAAAAATGCATGGGCTAGATGTTGGATACACTCGATAAAACCAGAATCACACTGCAAGGCAAAGACTTTCACACAGAAGGTGTAAATGTTACAAATAACTTGCTGTTACGGATGCAAATATAGTAAAAGATTGGATAATATGTAGTTTCACGTACATGTTCAGTGCTTTTGAGAGGTAAGTAGAAATCATAGGCTCTATAAAAGAAGTGGACATAGCCTAAGGGTCTGAATAGTGAAACCAATGCAGATCTGCCAGAAACCTGTATTTTATTTACATCGCTTCTGGCTCCTAACAAAAACAATTTGATCGATCGGCAAAAATGGGTCACGACCCGATGGTAACCCTGGATTATCAAAAATGTGAGAAAAACTGGAGGCAGACTCACTGCTGGATGACCTCGCCTAGTTTTGTAGAAATGAGGCCACAAACCAATGGATGACATCACGGTCAACTTTCTTTAAACTATTTATTGACAAACCAGTTGCTGACTTGGTCTGCTGTTTGGTTGATGTTTATTACAGCTTCTACAAACAACGACTTTGAAATTGGCATCATTCTTTTTGTTCAACTTTTAACTGCTCCAATCAATTGTTACCACTCTTATTGGCAATATTGTTGATGGGACACAACTTATTGGTTAAGAAAGGAATAACCCTCAAGGCTGGGTTGGCTTGAACCCTGAGACTGAATAAAGAAGTCCATTTTGAATATGTAATGTGTACATCTTTTCAAATTGTGTCTCTCTGCAACAGTTAAAGACTTTGGTTATAAATAACATTTCCCCTACATAGACTATAATTAACACACATGTGCCCTCTCATTTCTTTTTCAATCACATAGTAGTTAGTGGGTATATATTTGTGACACATAAGCTCCCTTCAGTGCAACTCTGTGGCAAAACAATATCATTTGAAGTAGTTCCAACTCTTCTCATTATTGAAGAGTTGTAGTTGATCCTACAAGTATGTTCTGTCTAACCGAACTTATTGAGTAGAACCAACATCATTTGCTTTGAACTTTAAAAGCTTTATTGAGTTGAACCAACTTAATATTAATTGAAAAGTTGTGGTGGTATTAAATGATAAAATGACTTTATATAAGCTATTATAACTTATTTATGTAATTCCATAATCCTCAAAAATGTCCATACAAATTATTACCTCAATTCTTTTGAGAATCATTTCAATAAGTGAAAATAAATAAAACATTTCAGTTCCACTTTTTTACTGCACTTATGTTTGTAAGTTAAGAAAATGTTGTTATTTTAAACACATTATGTTGAAACTTCTTTTTAAGCATTATCTACTAACCCCAGTGTATCCCATGACTTAATTCAAATCATTAAAAAAACAGATTTTCACACAATTGAAATGCATTATGGTTCAAATTGTGATTCTGACCGAGATTAAACTATACTTTGTTTAAATGTATGTGGACCACTACCATTAGCATGCTACCATCTCTAATAAATCAAACTTTACTGTTCTATTTTTGAATGATTAGTTGAGCTTATTTAAAACTTTTTTTCAACACATAAATTGTCAAAATGGCCTCCACAGCAAGTCACATTTATTTTCAGGGACATCGAGTTCTCTTTCAGAATGCCTTTACATAGAAAAAGAAATCCATCACAACACACACACAACCTTGACGGTGTAACTGAATGTCCATCTCTGTGTGAATGCAGAGCGCTGATGGTGGGCTGCACAGAAAAGCTACATGTGACATTAATCAGAGTGCGTCATGGTCCTCACAATTGCTAGAAAGTCAAATGGTCATGCGTGAAGCCACCAGCAGCAAAAAGAAAACATACAAGAAAAAAGAAGTACACAACGATTACTCACTCTGCGGAGCAGGTTGCAGATTCTTTCAATGTTGAGAATCCTTTCCCTCTGCAAATGTAAGGAAAGTCTGGTTAATGGTCTGCATATTTCTTCATCCTACCTACTTCTTGTATCTCCCATGAAAATCTCCAGGCAGAGCTAACACAGGCTTTTGTTTAAAGCTGACAATTGTTGACATATTATTGACGCATCAACAATATGCAAAAGCTATCTGATGAGAGCTTTCAAATACAAAGAGAATCCTGCCTACATGTCAGTGCTATGGCTATGATTACAGATATGGCTGGGAAATACATATAATAAATAATAACTTACTGCCAAAACAACGTCATTTTCCATTTCAAATTCTTAAGTTGCTTTCCATTATATAATGGGAAAAAAAAATCCCCTTGCAACTAAGCGAAAAACTTAATTATGGGTTGTCGAGAAATATTTTCCATCAACACATAAAGAACATCAGCCATTTTCAGTAGAGGTAACATTCTCTTGTCTCCTGTGAGCTGTGAGAGGGCTCAGTGATCATCTTTTCCAAATGAAAGCCATTTATCTTCCACGAGCCACCACCTAGGGGTCTCTATGCTGATCTTTTATCTGGGTGTTTATTCATTAGCTAGCAAGGCAAATGAGATGTTATTCATCAATCTACATTATTCTCTGCCCAATACCAAAGAAAAGAACCAATATTCTAGGTAATTAACAGATGGATATTTTATTTGTTTTGCTTCATTAACTCTGTGATTGGATAAGCAGCATTGATATGCTATAGATAGTTTCAGCCGGAAAGACTCTCTTACTCATTTCGTGACATATTAAGACATCTGTCTTAGTTACAGGATGTCTGCTTCCAGAATGGAGGCTAGTGTGATGTGGCTTCCCTTTGGCCTGAGGCACAGACTGCACCTTTTCTCAAACTGTGGACATGAATTCAAACTCCCTCGGCGACCTGAAAGTAGATTCTGCCCTGAATCCACAACATCCAGCATGCAAGACAGACGCCGGCTCTCCAGCATCACTGTCTATTTGCAGATGTTGGTTTGTGTCAATTTCTTATTATGCGTGCTTTGTCCTTCAATGACACTTTGAAATGTAAAGACCACAACAATGCACTGATGTGTAAAGTTAGCTCCTTTCTTTTTGAAAGTCATTTTTTCTCAATTTGCCCCCCGAGACAAAGTGTTTAGAATTTAATTTGACGTGCCGGCTAACTTATTTTACATTTTATGGTTAGTAATCGCACTTACAAATGATTGTCCTTCTGTAACTGTGTTTAGATGTACAACTTGGAAACTGCCCTAATTAGTTACAGGTCATCCACTGCACTATGCATTTCTTATTGTAGCAACAAGCGAAACACGACTTTAGACATGAATCAAACGCTTTGGGGACATTTCACAGTGTGCATAACAAGTCAAAGAAATCAACGGCAAAGAGAGTAGTCAAGAATAGAGAATAATACGTACTCTATTTAAGTGGCAGGGAAGAACAATATCATTGATTGAACTGGTTTCACCAATAAAGAAGGCTTTAAATGAAGGAAATGTCAAGGGCTTGACTTTTGTAATGTGCTTTTTAATGGAGAGGTCAAATACTGCAGCAATTTGGCGAGCTCTTTTCAAAGGCTTAGCAAGAAGAAATAATATACATTTCAGCCACTCCTCTGTCAAGCAGCCACACACTTTGTCTCTCTTTTATACTGTGATGGAAGGCTTTGCACAGGAACCTGATGAGGAAACACGTGTTGGTTAATCTGTTGTGTTCATTTTGAATGTCACACGTCTTTTTCACAGACAGTAGCAGTTGAGTTACTACATTGCTCTTTACTCAAATCAGAAATAATTGCTGTTTATTTTCCGAAGCTGTTGCCAGGTATGTTTTCTTCTGTTTGTGCAGTTTATTGAATCTGGTAGCAGCGGAACACACCAGCAGTTTATATTCTATCTGAACACATCTCACATGGTGACATGTCAAGTTGTTGATGAAATAGGCCCCGCCCCCAGCACCTCTTTTCCCCTCTCTCTGAGTGTGTGGGAGAGAAACTCCCTCTGGAGGGAACTTTGGGATTTGAGCCTTTGCAGACCATTTACATGCACACAAACCACACACTACAGGGAAGGGAAAACCCAAACCTGTCCTCTAATGATTTATATTTGTCAGAAATAACACATCTACTTCTTAACATCAGTATTTGGAGAGCTTCTGTTTTCAGTTGCATTATATTTTGTACAGGTGTTGCAGTTATTGTGTCCACCCCCCTGTAGCTGGCGGCGTGCCTCCACACCCCCGGTCTGCTTTCACAGTTTCCTCTCCCACTCCTCATCACTCTCACTTTGCAGTTCAGATGCAGGTTCACATGATTACTGGAACATTAGCTAACTTGTGAAAAAGACATTCACAGCTGCTGTTAACTTGCTAAATGAATAATGGCAGTCGTCATTGACTCATGGTGCTGATAGTGTCTGTTCTTGCTAAGGAATGAGACAGAGACTTTCAGATGTGACTTTTTAGTTTGTGTTGCAGTGAGGGAAACCAAGTATATACTTATTTGAGTATTTCATTGTGTGAACAGCAGCTTCATTTTCATTGCTCTTTTTGTATTTAAAGAAGGTTGATTGTCTCAATCTGCATACAAACACGTGTTCAAGGCAAATGATTACTCTTGCAATCACCTGGAAACAAACATTTAAACGACTAACCGACTAGCTGAATAAAACATTTGAAAGATTTCATTCCAAAATCACAAAACTGCATTTATATAAAGGGGTGCTTGCTGTTTTAGGATAATAGAGTCTGTAAAAACGTAGAGTCTGTGTGTTTGAAGGAGTTTTTGATCTCTGCTTTGGACATTTGTAATATTGGCTGATAGATTAAAGGTCAAATGCAACATTTTGGGGGTAAAACTCTGGATTTGTTCGCAGCATTTATGTGTAGTTCAGTAAAGGTTCTTCTTGGAAATGAAAAGATGGGATTCCTGTATGCGGCTGTGGCTCAGTGGATAGAGTGATGGACTTTGAATCAGGGGATAGCAAGTTCGAGTCCCACTGCAGTCAGTATGTCGTTGTGTCCCTGGGCAAGACACTTCACCCCAAGTTGCTCCTGTGGGGATTGTCCACAGTACTGAGTGTATGTACGTCACTTTGGATAAAAGCGTCTAACAAGTGACATGTAATGTAAAAAAGGTGCACACAAGGGTTTGATCAGCTTGAAAGAAGTGAAACAGCATGGTTCTTACCGCTCTGGTGGGATTGCTCTGATCAATGGGGTTTTTGAAGTCTGTGCCAAGCTCATCAAATGCAATGATCTGAAAAACAACAGACGTGTTAGTTGTTTCTTTTTCAATGGGTTTCCTTCAGGGCACTAATGAATGCACATTCTGTAACTGTATATCAAATAGAGGCAAAGTTGGTGTCTTTTCAACAGCACACTCTCCAGAAATATTCCTGTCTCAGCCTGTTGTACAACACTGTAGCTCTCTCTGTTCTGCACACCCACTGCTTCTGGTGCAGCTGCAGCCACATCGCTCACTTTGCTCGATTGAATGCTAAATGCATACATACTGTGATTGTAAGAGCTCATGTGTCATTATGAAGTCCCCCAAGGAGCTACAATTACCCCTTTTTCCTGTTTCTCATCTAAAATAATCATAATAAACCAGTCTATATTGATAAAGTATGAAATGATGTGAAAATACCCGGACATTGACAGCTGTGAAGGGAAAAAAGTATCATTTATTTATCAATAATCTGAAATCACTTCACATTGAAAAAATGGTTGTATTTGAAATATAAAACTCGATGAGAATAAATAACCATATATGGAAATGAGGGTCACTGTAGAGAAAATAACGTAAGTGTTCATATGTATCAATCATTCCCCCTGCTCCCTGTGTGGGAGTATGAAGGATAATGTTTCCAGCTCTCTCTGATTAATGGCTCCATAAAAATACTAATAAGTCTTGGTGTAAAGGCCACCCGCTGTGCTTATCATCAGTGGAGCCTGTAAACAGTGGAGCTTATCTTTGTCGGCTCATTGAGAAGCAATAAAAGCAGACATTATTCACAGATAAGAGAGCGTCTGATTCGCATCAACAACGACAGATTGTTTAAAATAGAAGAAAAGCCCTGCTGGTAATTTCCCCATACAAGTCTATAGGGTTCTCCCTGGTCTTCCTTCACACTGTTGTAAACAGATGCAGTTTCCATGGCGACACGGTGAGCCCCTCAGTGGGCTCCATGGTTACTATAGCAGTGAACAAACGTTCTGATTGGTTGAGAGCCACATAGATTTGGGGTGCTGGACCAGTGGGTAGAGGCGGACTGGGGGAAGGGGTGGACATCATCATACTTTGATAAGCGTTTCGATCACATGGTTGAACGCTGAGCCAGACCTCTCTCTCACACTGCCTGACTCACATGGAGTCTCACCCACTTAGTCAATTGGTACGTTAGTCATTTCAAGTCTAATGTTCATAATGATGTATTTCACATTATTCCTGCCTCCGTGGATTTGAATGCTGAAAGGTGGCAGATTAAAGCTTCAAGTGTTTGCTCAGCCTGCCCTTGTGTGAACGAGCAAACCGAGTGCAACGGTGTGCGGCCATATCTGTGCACATTTCACTCAAAATGCCGCCGGCAGAGAGATTCACAACAGCCTGGCACTGAGATGTATGATTATTGAGCTTTGCTTTCTCCCTGTACTCATTTGCTGCACTTTGCTGAAGCCTGAACATCTTGTTTGAGGAACTGTGTGTCAGTTCTCTGGGATGACAGGTCGCCTACTGTAGAGGGATGGAGTCAGACGAGCTCCAGGTAATTATACTGTTGATCAACCAGCGCGTTACTGTACGGAAATAGGTGAAAGAATTCAGACTGAACACAATGTTTTTCAACTCCTGCAACTCTCTGGTCTATTTCAACTAATTATGTATTTCCAGTTTCATGTAGGTGTTGAAATTGAAGGGTATAAAGTGGCATTTGTTGACTTCGAAGAGGCAATTTGAAATGTCAGTCAAATATAAGGTACAATTACACTGAGATTGGGAACATTTATGCATGCCATTACTGTGCCTCCTGAGTACCTCAGTGAGATGTGTGTGTGTGTGTGTGTGTGTGTGTGTGTGTGTGTGTGTGTATGAGGTGTGTGTGTATGCCCGTTGGTGTTGTACAACCTTGTGTAGGCGGATGTGTTTGTCTGCCTGCGTGGGAGGAAGCGTGAACAGACCATACATTTCTGCTTCCAGTGCTACTCACCTGCCATATGACGAAGAAGATGAGGGCAGCGCACAGCACCAAGGTGAGCATGTAGCAGAAGGCCGCAAAGGTGAACGCCATGGCTGAGCCCGCCATCCTGAAGACGAGATGGGTCGAGAGAGAGGAAGAGGATTTCTGCCTGGTGGCTACTGCCTCCCTCTTAGGTAGAGGTTATGTTCTGTCTCCCCCTCTGCTGCGAGCAGGGGCTGTATTGTCCAAGTAGGTAGAGCACTCAGTCACAATCAATACCCAGCAGTCATGTCTTTGTCTCTGTGTGTATATCTGACAGCAGGGCGACCCCTTTGATTTAGGAAGCACTTATGAGTCTGTTAGCAGCCACAGTTGTCTCTGGTTCTTTTCTTTAGTCTCTGACAGGCAAAATGTCTGTCTCCTCCTCCTCCATCTTCCTGTAGTTTCTCTCTAGACAGAGCCTACACATTTTCTCCTCACAGTAACAAACGCAACAACGTGCGTGAGTGACACGCTGACCACAGGATTCTCATCGATACTAAGCACAGCGCTGATGACTATTGTCTGGGATGGTGGTGGCTTGTGACAGTTCAGCCGTTAGTCGTACAGTATGGCTTTCACTCCATCTGTCGCTCTGAATCAAGAACACCATTAATGACGCATTTCATCCAGTTGTAAACAACCAGAGGTGTGTTGTCTGTGAGTTATAGTTTACAGAGACAGCCTCCTAGGTATTACTTATTTTATCACTACATGTATTGGAACATGAATGTGCAAATGTATTACAGATACACGGTATTGCTTTGCACTTTAGACAGTTATATTCTCACAAAGCGATTCTTCTATTAAAGACTATAATATAATAAAAGAATGAAGCGGTACAAATTGGAATTTCAAATGAAAGAACTATTTAACATTACAAAGCCCAACACACACATCAAAGAGACTTCGAATGACAAAATGAGAGTATTATATGGACTGTAGTTCTATTAAACATGTATCATTGCCTGACTGATCGTAGTATCAAATAGAGAATACCTGTGTCTGGTTGGAGACGAGTCTGCCCCTGAACAGTCCTCTCTTTCCTCGTCTCTGTCAATTTGGGTCGGCACCATGTCACAATTCTCCTCTGTGCATCTTCCTCTCAGACGCATCCCCCAGATTGACCCAAACACATTTAGATTTGTCTCTGCTGACTGGCGTGCAGGGTCAATGATTCAAGTCTGGGGAGGAGGGGAAAGGGGGGGGGGGGGAGATTTAACCAGAGACGTGCAGAACATCTACATGTTGAGCCGCGTTTACTCTGACTTTGAAATCTCTTCTGTTCTCAAGCTAAAATGTCCACAGCCCTCAGAAGTCTCAAGTCAATCAGTCCAGCTCTCTCTTGTCTCCTCCTTTCCTTATCGCCTTTGTGTCCTCTTTCCTTAAGTCTCTTTCTGAGATGTTAAAAGCTGCGTCTGCTGTCTCTCTCGGTCTCTACCTCTATTTCTTAGACTGCGAGAGAAATATTTCTATCACGCTTGATGTTCTAACGCTCGTCCAATCGCGTCGCTGTGTCTCTCCCTCCCTCTCCTGTTTGCTCTCTCTCCCTCCTCTCTCTCTCTCTCTCTGTCCCTCCTCCCTCCTCCTCCTCTCTGTCAGTCTGTTTCCCTCTGTCTTGCATTTATACATTTTGATAATCTCTTGTTCCCCAGGGAGTGATGAGGGGGCAGGGCAGGCTGCAAATGTGTTTCCTTTCGTCTGCCTTTCTCTCTCTGTGTGTCTCTCTTTCCATTTCTCTCCTTTCTTTTCACCAGAGTCTTCAGGAATCCATCATGTCATCAACATGTGCTCTAAGAGGGTGTTGCTCTCAATCAACTGTCACTTTTTTTAAATGATTCGGTCTATTTGTATTTCACTTAACATCTATTGAAATTGCTCATATTCCCTTTGGTGTTTTTTTACCTGATTTAGAAACCACTTGTATCATTTGATTTGACATCTTTTGTTAGAAGTATTCAATATTAACATCGCTGATTATCCATGTCTATGTGTACATTGTATCTTTGACAAATGCAACACTCTTTAAAGAATCACCTGCATCATAAATACACAAACCGCACCACTGTCTCATTGAATGCACGGGTCACACAGATGTGATGACGTAATGCAGTGGTTCCCAACCTTTCCAGACGCATATTCTTATCACATGAGGTCCAATCCCCCACACCACTCGTTATGTTCCAAATGTGTTCTTTATTCAACATTATTAGTCATGACAGTGGATATTCTTTAAAAAATCGTCCAAGCTTGGTCAAGTGTTGATTTGAAGCATTCTAGCCTACTATCAATTGTGTGAGAAAACAGTTTTTCATACTAGTACGCAGGGCCGTCCCTGGCCAACTTGGGGCCCCAAGGGACATTGTGAGATGAGGCCCCCCCACCGACAGGAGTGAACTTTTTTTGGAAACAAAGTACTTTGCAAATATAATTCCTGTTTATTATTATTATTATCAACAGAGTTACTTTTTTATACAGTGAGGTAAATGGTAAATGTGCATGTATGTCGTTCAGTCTGCGTTTACAGGTGAATACGTCGGCATTTCCTGGATGCAAAGTCATCGACAAGGTCATCGTATGACAGCTGCTGTGCCAACTGTGCGTTGATGCTTATGATAGCCAGGCCACTTAAGCGTTCTTGTGCCATTGACGACCGGAGGGACGTCTTCAGAAGCTTCAGTTTGGAAAGGCTTCTCTCAGCAGACGCAACTGTAACAGGAAGAGTTACTGCAATGCGGAGGGCAATCCAGAGATTTGGGTACAGTTCCTGTAACTCACTTTTGTGGAGAAATGACAACATCTCCAGAGCAGTTTTTAATATAAGTAATGCAAATAAACTACTTCTACTAATAATCATAATCATAATCATAATCAATTCAATAATATCAATACTATATTATTTTTATTATAATATAGTTGTAATATAGTCAAGACAAAACATGCTTATTACATGCTCAAAAACTGATATTTCTTAAATCTGTATTCAAATGTAGTTCCCTCTGTCAGCAATGTATCAACAACTACACACACATTTCTATCAGTATTTCTCTGTGTTGTGGTTGACATGATGATGACTGTTAGGAGTTACGCAGCGTCCACACGGCGGCGTGCGTTGAAGCTTGCCGGCGGGCGTGTCTGAAACTCGACCAACAACCAATCACATGAATCTCCCGCCCCGGACACACAAGCACGCGGTTTGATTGGCTAGAGCTTGTACTGGCATATGATTCGATTGGCTGACGCTTCCGTCGAAGCTTCAAAAGTAGAACATTGCTCAACCTTTGAAGCGAGCGACGCGACGCGACCACAATGCAGTTCGGCAAAGCGTGACGTCACCCCATTCAAAGTGAATGGGCAGAAGCGTTGAAGCTTCAACGCACGCCGCCGTGTGGACGGGCCGTTAAGGGGAGAGGCTGAGCATCACCATGAAATGCGCAAATTGTATAAAAATGAATAAAAGGGGAAAAAAAATGCTCCATGTTTTTTAGGCTGTAAACTTGAACTGTTATGTAAGCCAACTAGACAGACAGTTTATCACTCGTCCTCCTGTACATTAGCAGATAAATGAATGCGCGGAGAACTGCACGGAGAACTGCGCACAAGCCGAGCTCATAAGCCGAGGCCCCCTGTGCGAGGCCCCCTGCGCAATGTGAGGCCCCATGCAGCCTGCAAGATCGGCCTGTAGGGAGGGACGGCCCTGCTAATACGAGTACTTTAAATCAACTAATTCAACTTTTTATTTATTGTTTTAGCATATTTAAACTGTTCATTTATTATGGTTAGCTTACTTTTCATCCCACACTTTAGGCTAACTGTTTTAAACTGTTTATGTATTACTTTTAGCCACTATTTCAACTGTTTATCCATTACTCTATTTGCTTACTCCATCAAGATATTTCCACTATTTATCCATTTTAGCCAGCCTACTATTTCCACTTTGCTGCTGTCTTACTAACAAGCTTAACTATGGAAGCCCATTTCTGCTAGTGAGAGCAAATAAATATATGATTTACTATATTAAGACATTATTATGACTTCGTTTTCTCATTACTATGCCTAAGTATCTCATTATTAAGACTAACTATCTCATTAAGATAAGATAAGATAAGATGGACTTTTATTTATCCCCGTGGGGAAATTCAGGAGTTAAAGCAGCAACAAAGTAAGAGTGAAAAACATGAACTATCGATTGTTAGATTTATTTACATGTAAGTGTGCAGATGCAAGTGCAGGTCAAAGTCATCTGTACAAACAGTGCAGATGTTATGAATGTCCAGTACAGGTTACTTTTATTGGGTCACATGGTCAGCCCTTGTTGCACAGCCTGATGGCACAAAGGACAGTCCGAGATGAGTCTGAGGCTGAACGTGTTCCTCATCTTCACTAGCTCTGCATGATGGGGGGGGGGGGGGGATAACATTTATTATCTCAATGTTAAGACTCCAGTCTCATTGTTGTTACTAACTATCTTAGATTAATGATTAAGAAAACCGTAGGTCGAATACAAAACTGACAGAAGGATTGGTTTTAACGAAAAGGGTTCAAATCTATCTGCCACTTCAGCACCATGGACAGCGCCCTTGAGTTATCACAGCACAGTTGGGCTACTGGTACAAATTCTCTGTTCTAACACTCTTTCTGCTGTTGAAATTCAGACAAATGGAAAGTTTATTAGTTATTGTTCCCTCAAAGTTGAGAAAAATAAATGTTTATATTCTCAAAGATGTGCTAAAAACATGGCAGCAAGCTATTTCTTCATGTACTCATTAGATTATTATAGAAATTCGATTATATCCTAAATCTTTTGTCAAATATGTATGTATCTGTGTTTTCTAGCTTGCTACATAACAATTTCCTAAATATTTGACAAAAGTCTTGTATGTACACGATACAGCAGTACATATGGCTGATGGCTTGAAATATGGTGTGAAAAATAAAATCTGGGTTACAGCACCCAGCAGTGACTGTGTGGTGTATTCAGCTGTCTGGTTAGTGTGTTAATGATGTTGGTTAAGCAAAGGTGGCTGGTCTATTTTCGTTGACTGTGTTGGGTGGGGGGGAGGTGCTAGTGTGTTGTCAACGGGGGGGATGCTAGCGATCTGTCAACTGGGAAACCTCTGGCGGACCTCTGTCGGTGCAACTTCAATGATGCCATTTAAAAACATAAAAAATTAAGGGAGGTGACGGCCGTCAGCGAATCGAGCCGGCCCTTGACGACCGGCCATTCTGTGCCATCCTAAACTCTGAAAAAATATTTGTTTCTCCGAATCGAAGGGGAAAAACACAAAAGCATTGCACACAATTTAAACCAATCAATGTTGTGTAATTAACAAGGATAATCTGGTGTTTTTCAGTTGATGAGTAGTGCAGATATCACTGTAAAATCAATCGACAGTAAGGAGAATACTTACTTCCGGGTGTAAAATCCTCCGTTATCCAATGGGAATGGACGCTCACATTGCCTTTAACTGCCGCCGACATGGACCGATGCGGTGCTTCCCTGAGCGCCAAATACCGCCGCCGATGGGAATACATTGCAATCAGTTGAAAGCTCTTTGAGTCTGTTTATGAAGCTGAAGGAGCCTCGGCGCGTCCCAACTGCACGCCTCGGGACCCTGACCAAGCGTCGCTCCTGGACGTTTAGGGAGTGAGAGTGTGTTGTTCAGGAAGCTAGGACCCGTGGTTGGAGCTGAGACTTCATTTCCCAGAGTCCTCGGGGGTGTGACGTCAGCGGGAAGCGGAGCAGCATGGGTTGAGGAGGAGGGACCCGGTTTGTTTACATTTGCAGGCAGCGGAAAAACGGGTTTTGCTCCAGGAAAAAAAAAAAGGCTCCTCGTGATTAGGCGCTTTCACACCGCAGTACTTTTCCCACTTTAGTTCCGATATAGTTCCGAAATGTTGCGTTCACACCAAAAAAATGCGGAACTAAAATGAGTTCATGAGAACCCTTTTACTCCCTTTTCCGTCCCTGCTAGAGAGCAGGGACTTTCGTGGGAGAAAAAGGTTCCTATTTCTGATTGGCTGGGCGGATTGCAAACCACGGCCCGTAAAACTCCCAAAAGGTTTTGTGAAGCCGCCATTTTATTATCCTCGCATTAGCATTATTAGCATTAGCCCAGCGCACAAACGCAGAGAGACTAACTTATGACAACACAAAAGAAAACATGGGAGCGGTGGAGTGATGAGGAGGTGTCGGTGTTCTGGCGATTTACTCGGAAGGCTTCAGTAGAAGCTGCTGGGATTCCCAGCAGCTTCTAGCCAGTCCCCAACTCCGGGGACTTCCGGCCGGGGACTTCGGGCGGCAGTATACGCCTTGAAGTTGTTTGCGGCCTGCCAGTAAACCCAAAGCAGAAGAAGAAGAAGTGACGTCAGCGGCTTCATTTGCCTAATCCTCCCCCAGGGACTTATTCCGGTGT